TTCTCTTCTCTTCTCTTCTCTTCTCTTCTCTTCTCTTCTCTTCTCTTTCTTTCTTTCTTCCTTCCTTTCTTCCTTTCTTCCTTTCTTTCTTTGTTTTGAAACAAACTTTATTTTGATTCTAAACAAAAAGAATGGGAATGACAGTAACAAACCATGGACTTAACAGTGCGCTGGGACTGTAGCGGTCTTATGTTTGAAATTCAGGAAGCAGTTGTGTTCCAAACAGCTAAATATGCAAGTCCAAAACAATGACGGTATGTTAAAACATGTTCACTCTGAAACCCACCCCTCTCCTTCAGTATCCATGAAGCATACACTCTGCTTAGCGAAATAAGGTGGCACACACGCTCACCGATGACATCACAGGACAGTTGTCTGTAAGACTGGACTCTGACGCAGGGCTCCAGCTTCCTTTTCTCACAGGTCACCCTCCTCATCCGGGAGGGCAGCTGTTTGAGCAACCTCTAAGTCACGCTGTACTGTGCTACCAAAGCTGGGTCCCTGACCACCTCAGGTGGGGCAAGAGCAGGCACGGCCACAAACTCCAGGGAGCTTTCTGGCAAGCCAGAGGAAATGCTTTTCAAAGCCATAGTTCCTTTTGGCAGAGATGTCATAATATTGAAGATTCTAATTTCAGCGGAAGACAATAGATTTTGCCTTCACTTTTCTCTCCTTAATATCCAATTTGTTGCCACACAACACAACGGGGATATTTTCACACACATCCCAGATCTCTCTGTCAGCTAGATACATTCCTGTAACTCACTCTTGATGTTATATCAGACATAATGGCACACTGGGCTTGGATGTAGTAGCCATCATGCAGGCCCCTGCACCGCTCCTGGCTGGCTGTGTCCCACACATTGAACCTGATGGGTTCTCTGTTGGTATGGAAGACCATCAGGTGCACCTCCATGCCCAGGGTGGCTACAGACAGCTTCTCAAACTCACCAGTCAAGTGGCACCTCCCGAATGTCGCCTTCCCAGTGTCGCCGTCGACCACTAGGACGAGCTTGCACTGGACCTGCTGCTCTCCCTGGACAGCCGTCGTGGCAATCCTTCCAGAAGGGTCTTGGCGCCTGTCCTGCTCCCTACTCTTTGTCTTCATTTACCGCCCCCTTTCTGCAGTTGCCTGTGATGGCCTCATCGTTGTTGCTGCTTCGGAACCAACTACAACTGGATTTAAATCAGTCATCTGTATTCCGCACAAACCCCACCACACAGACAGCTGAGATGAAAGCCTGGCTCTTCCCATCAGCAGTGGGCTGTCTTGGGTCTCTTTCAGGAGGAGGAAATAGTTGATTTTCATAGGCCTGTTTGCCCCTCTGCGGATATCAGCCTGGCTGTGACTGTGGTCTGTTCTCTGCAATGCTGGCGCTAGTCCCATGACAGTCTTCTAAATCAGACCCCTCCCAGAGTCCACGTGACTAACTTTCTATCACTCAGAAACACAGCTCTCGTTTAAAGGGAAATAAGGGGCAGTTTGCTCTGGAGACAAAGATGGGTGGCTCAGGTTACCCCAAATCCCACAATGAAATGCAGTAAGAGTTCCATGACGATTTTGTGGAACCAATACAAGGAAAATCACCAATCAAGAGCACTTTTCAGATTCACTGGTGGAAGCATCAGAGGGCTAGATAATGGCAAAGTGGGGAAGTTGCTGTTGGGGGCCTCGGATGTTACCTGATGACATCTGAGCCTTTGGGTTGAACTAGTGGCCCAGGATGCTAAAGTTGGTTTGGAACCACAGGATTTGAGAATGATGCCCCGGAGTGGCACCCTCTGTCTGCCAATGTTGTTCAAAGCACCTAGAAGAAAGATTCCAGTCCTTTATGAGACCCATAAATGTGGCACACTGCACCCCCTTAGCAGATGAAGAGGGGGTTGGGTTGACTCTTACCTGAGAGCCATCTGTGTTTCTTTCTGCCCACCCACCACAAATCCTACTGATGTAGAAAGATGCTTGTCAGAACCCCAAACTTCTCAATCTCTTCTCTACTTGAAGCCATGACCTTGAAATGGACCAGCCCCAAGGTAGTGTGAGCAGGCAGATGGTGCCTACCAATGGCCAGACTTGAGGGTCTTTTGTGCCCTTAGCATCCAGGTTGCTGTGGATGACTGCCATTGATCTCCGCCATATGCTGGTCTTTTCCAGTTGCTGACCACTGATGCCCCCCCATGATACTTCTGGATGGGAGACTTGAGAATTCTGGGGTGGTGTGGCTCTCAGAGAAGAGTGGCTAGAGAGCGAGACTGGAAAACTGGGCGCCCTTGGCTCAGAAAGCAGGTCAGGGTTCTGTGTCAAGGAAGGAGACCTCCCAGGTGCTCCCTGGACAGTGCAGATGGCAGGCAGCCAGCAGGTAGTGGTAGCATGGGACCATCCCGATGATGTTTCCATGTGTGGACCAGCGGACAGAGGGATGCTGAAGCACACGATGCTCAGGAGTTCCCAGGAGACAGCGGCAAGGAGCACAGCTGGAGTGAGTGACAGCCTAGACTCCAAAGAATTGGACAGTTGGTGGATGGTCTCACAAGTAACTTTAATAGTCATAATCTATCCTGACAATCTGAATATTGTGTTTAATGAAGTGTAGAGTTAATGTCACCTGTTAATGTGGCTAAGGAAACATTTTAGAATAGCGTAAGTAACTCAACATCTCTAGAACATGAAGTATGGCTGAGAAGATGGTGGGGGAGCTCTGGGAAGGGAATCTGGGTGGGGTTCCCTCCTTTATGCTTTGTTCATTGTCACTTTAACGCATATCCCAAGCATGTCCCTCATCTAGAATAGCCCACGGAAGTCAAAAGGTTGGGCACTAGTGTACTGAGAAACCCAAAGTTATCAGTGCTCTTTCTAGTTGTTACTGAAACAGCTGTCAGGCCACCTCTAATCTCCCCCTTCCTGTAGTCACAGGAGAAAGTATTTGGTCAACAGTCTCTGTCAGGACAGGTGGTTGACCATACGATGGTCTGGGGACAGGGAAGCTGGGCGAGAGTTTCCCTCGGAACCCCACCTTGACCGTGGCTGCCCACAGAGGCATGTGGTCAGTGTGGACCTTCGAAGGGGCTAGCCTTTCCTCTTCCTGCCTCTGGCACACAGTCACACCCAGTGCCCTTTGTTCTACCGTGGACTTGCTACCCTTTCTTGGTCTTTTCTTGTCGGCCTGTCCCCCCGGATCTGTACGTCTTGGCAGAATTTCATACTCCCAACCGTCACCCCTGTCTTCTAGAGCTCTCCAAGTCCCAGAATGACATGACTTCTGAGAAGCATCTTCTCGCTATGGATCCCAGGCAGTGTGTGGTCCACACGGAGAGGCGGAGCCAGTCTGACACAGCCGTCAATGTCACTTCCAGGGTATGCGCCGACCTGCTGGGCCTTTGCACCTAGCGCCTTCATGTCCTCTTTTCTGGCTTATTGTCCTCTCCCTGCATTTGCTTTTCTTTTGACTGAAAACTTCAGTCAGGACAACCTAAGTAGGTATAATCTGTATTCAGTTGGTCAGGACAACCTAAGTAGGTATAATCTGTATTCAGGCACACTTGACCAAAGGAAGCAAGAGTTTAAGGTCCAAGCCAGATGCACTAGCCTGTGCCTGCATCCCCAGTGATTTGGGAAATTGAGGCAGTAGGTTTGTCTGAATCAAGGGATTATAACCAATCTGAGCAACAATGTGAGACTCCCCTGAAAAAGAGAAGAATAATGATGATTCAAGATCACCAAGGAGAATTAATCAGATCAGGGGCAGACTTTTATCTGATCCCAAGCTCCCAAGGCTGCTTCTCTCTTGTTTCAGTGCCATCCAAAAGCAGGTCTCACCTGCAGGGCTGACCTGCCATTTTTCTGGGGTCTACAAATCTCTTCTCATGGGGAGGCCTTCTGACTTCCATTCAAGGCAAAGAACCTTTGGTTGGCTTGGAAAGTGAAAACATAAACTCTGCACAGAGTGAGGGAGCAGAAGCTCCTCCCCTGGGTTCTGAAGCAGAAGAGCTCACTGGGAAAGGAGAGCGGTTAGCGAGGCCATCGCAACGCCCTCTGCTGGCTGGGTTCAACTAAAACAGGTGCACTGAACTCAGATAATGCTGACTTTGGAGTCAAATACTTGGGTTCCAATCCAACCCAGGTGACCTGGCAGGCAGGTGCCAGCACCTGTTGTTTCCAGTCTAACTGTGGGCTCTGTAGGACATGTGTCCCCCTTCTATGCTTGTGAGTCCATCCTTGATGTCCCCAGACTGTCCTTTTTGTAATGGTGGAGAACTTAACCTGCTTTCCTTCTAGAACTTGCTCTAGAGCAGAGATTCTCAAGTCGTGGGTCCTGAGGCAACTTTTGTCTCCAAAAAGTCTTTACATTGCTATTCTTAACAGTAGCAAAATTATAGTCATGCAGTGACAATGAAAATAATTTTATGGTTGGGAGTCACTACAACATGAGGAACTGTATTAAAGGGCTGCAGCATTAGGAAGGTTAAGAACCACGAACAATCCAACACACTGGAGATTAAATGTAGCCCTGTTTTACACTGAGAGACATATGGAGGCTTAGACCCACAGTTACATACCTGGAGATGGAAATGCTATGCTTGAACTGGTCCCATCTTTGTTTGGAGGCTGACCTCTGGAGTAACTACTTAGTTGTAAGTCGTGGCTGGAGGTGAATCACTGGGCTCTTGATGAGATGCACAGACTCCCACATCACTGGCCTCCCTGGGTGTGAGATGCACAGATTCCCACATCACTGTGACCTCACTAGGTGTGAGATGCACAGACTCCCACATCATTGGCCTCCCTGGGTGTGAGATGCACAGATTCCCACATCACTGTGACCTCACTAGGTGTGAGATGCACAGACTCCCA